TTCCAGGAAGCCCACAAAGAAATCATGAACATTCAGAACTTGACTGCTGATCAGTTAGCACCTGAGTTGATGGAGACTTTCAAGCAGCAGCTCCTAAAGCAGTTCAGCCAGAATTAGAGGGTTATGCTCTAATAAAATGGATTCTTTTCTGAAGGCTTGTTGTAGTCTTTCAGCATTTCTTCTAAAAATCATACAGAAACACCATTCCACAAAATGCACTTCCCTTAATTCACAGCCTTTCTGCAACTTAGAAGGGAAGAAAAATACATCTTAGACTGCCATGAGCTGCTTTTCCCTCTTGTCCACTGCAGCATGTAGGCTTTTCTTTCATTTTCTTTCATTCTCCAGCACCACTGGATTTGTTCCAAGGCTGAGGTGAATCAGTCTGTGTGGGAACAGGAGCAGTCAGACCTGCCCTCCCATCCCTGCTCTGGGTTTTCCAGGCCAGAGCAAGGGTTTCCTGAGGGTATGGCAGAACAGGGGTGTCTGAAACAAGGAAAAACCATTGTAGCAGATGGTTTTCACTTTGCCAAGTGAAAAGAGTCTGCTGGAAGATTTTTGGTCTTTGGGAAAGTGAGGTCAGGACCCAGGGCCCTTGGAACACCTGGCCACTAGATGCTGCTGCATCACCTGTGAGAGCAAAGGGACACAGTGCCCAGGAGCAGGGAGCTGTGCTGGTACCCAAGGGATGCCTTCAGCTTCTGGCAAGGACAGAGTCAATAAAGCTCCTTGCCCAGAAACTCACGCTACACTCTACAAAGAACATCCTGCACAATGGAAAAAAGCTGCTTTTCTTGGTCAAGGTGCTGCAAACCACACGGCCCCTCTACAAACCACTCATTGCTCTGTCCCTCTCCCAGAGTGGTTTGTCAGCACAACAGGAACTGTTCTGGCCAGGCTCTTGGCACTGAGGCTCTGGTGGCTGGGCTAGCACTGGTAGCAGAGGGAGCTGTGCTGGCCAGCCCTGGGTAAGCAGAGAGCTCAGTCCATGAGCTGAGGAATGTCCCACACACAGTTAATGCTCCACTGCTCTTCAGCCAGTCAGATCCTCTGTAAAGCCAATGGCTGCATTTGCCAGGGGCTGTGGCTCTGTTTGGATCTGTAATTAGGATTTGGAAGGAAGTGAAGACCATCCACAGCTGTGCACCCTTCATAGCCTCTTGCTTGTGTCCATTTGTGCCACTCCTGCTTTCCTGTTCTGTCCCTGTGACCTCCCATTTCCAGGTACAGGCCTCCATGAGGAGGGTTCCAGTTTGCAGAATTGTTTTTCTCCCCTCCTTGTTAAGCTGTGTTTGTACTTGGAAGTCTGTTTGTCTCTGCTGATGGTTACACCATCCATGGGGAAGGCTGCACAGTGTGCTGGGTGTGAGATGTCAATTGTCTGAATGCAAGTCAAGTAATTACAGTGTCCAGAAATGGTGAATGTAGCTGCTCAAAATCTCACACATTCTTTCAGTTGATCTACTGTTTTTGGGGAATGAGCCAGCTGGCTTTTCTGTTTGTTTTTTGAGCAAACCTGCCCTTTAGTTCAAAAGGCCACAAAGCATAGTCTGCAATGCACACGCCTGCAGGCTGAGCTATAGGAGCCAAGCAGGCTGCTGCCTTTATTTTCCATCCTTCCACCCTACAGGAAATCCCCAGTGTCACTGGTGAAAAGGAACATTTGCCCTCAAACTCTCTCCCTTTCCATGCTGACGCATGCAGGGATATTTGCCTTCTTACCTGATTTTTTTATGAGTAAATTTGTTTTGAGAAGGGCCTGTTGCATGCCAGTGAGCAAAGCCAATGACTGCAGCTCTCCTCTGCCCTAGGAGTGTTTGCATGCCTGCTGCCTGAGCAGCAATCCCTGCCCATGCTGTCCTGTGCACTTGCCAGTGCTGAGCCTCAAGAGGTGTTTCTGTTGTACCACCAACCACTTCCTTCCCTCCAGCTGCAGCTTTACCACACTCACAGCTGGGCTGCTCTGCACCCCTGCAGTTAAAGAGGTGCCTTTGTTGCCTTGCCAAGGCTGCCCAGCCTCGCTGCATTTTACTGTTGGCACCTTTGTGCTTGCCCTGACTTTCAACTTTTCCCTTTCTTGGAGAGAGCAAACTTCTACCAACATCATAAATATTTCCCACACTTTCTGTTCAAGTATAAGCAGAGCAGAGAAACAATTAAAACCAAAAGTCTATTTTGTTGGGTGCTAATCTTGACAGATCTCAAAATGGAATTAAGAGCAGAGCCTTTTGTGACACACATCTCCCTGCAGAATCTGCAGATAAGGCTGCTCTGCATGCAAGCCATTGCACAAGCCAAAGCAAATAAAGTGGTTTTTTTCAACTTCTTTTATTTATGATACTTATAGCACAAGAGCTCCACGTAAGGGTCTTGAACCAATTTTCTGCTTGTTGCAATGAGGCCCAATGTTCCATAAATGTCACCCATTGTGCACTCCTGCAAGGACGGCTGCCTTCAAAACCAAACTGGAATTATGCTCAGAGCTTGCTCTGTGGTGCTCCTGCACTGCTGTTTCACAAGGGATAAGTGAAAGTTTGGAGTTTCACTTCAGCCTGGTCATGATGACAGGAAGGGATTTTAAATTGTTTTTCCCACAATTTCTGCCTGGTGTATATGCAGGGTCCAGTGGCATTTTGAGCCTTTCCATTCCCACAGGACAAAGCACCTCTCTAGAGTAACTCCTTGGATGGCCACAGAGTTACAAAACAGATACATCTGCCTTGTTCTTTGCTCTGAATCATGGAGATAAGGCTGCTCATCCTTGTACTTTGCCTTTTGCTACCTCTCCACCTCTGTATTTTGTTCCTTTGTGTCATTGGATCTTGTCTGGTTCCAGTTCCTAGACTGAAAGCCCTGGGAGCTGCCTGCCAAAACCCAACAGGTTGTGCAAGAGTTTTGCTTGCCTTGGTGCAAGGTCTGTTGAGTGTCTACTCCCCTTTCACCCTGAAAAGGGAGAGGGATTGCACCTCCCCTGTCAGCTTAACGTGTCAGCTTAATCGAACATGTTTGATTCGACTTCCTCAGTTCTTGCCAGGGCTATTTGGAAATATGTGAGAACCTGTGATTTCTGGAATAAAATTAAGTTGTGACATACAAAATAGGAGGAATGTTTAAAAAACAGAAAAACGTCCTAAGACTTCTTCTAAATTATTAAGAAATAAACTGCAAAACTTAGTGCATTTTTTTCTGTCTTGTACCTGTTTCCAATATGCTGACAGAGAAAATAAGGGCAGGAAAAATGGTCTTTGAGGTGATGGAGTCAAATGAAAATACAGTGCTAGAAGCACTAGCCTGGAGCCAGGAATAATCAATGAAATGGCCTAAAGCACAACCACATAAAAATACCTCTTTGGTTATGTGGGCTGTACAGTGCAGTCAGCAAACTGGAGAAAAACTTAAAGAAGGAACATTTCCAGGAGGCACACGAAAACATCTTTGCAGTTCAGAGTGGACTAATGGATCAACTGAACCACGAATGAAGGAGCAGAGTGAACCCACACTGCTGATGTTGCTGCAGACTGCTGAGATCAACACCCTTCCCAATGATATCTCCGAGTGTGGGCAGGGGAGCAGCACAAAGACTTCTCCAAATATTACCTGTACAGAGCCACTTTCCTGTTCCTTTCCCCCATTCCCTTAACATTTAAGATTCCTGTGCACTGAAGGAGTTTGAACTCAAGCACCTGCCACATACTCGATGAGCTGTGATCTGTAGCACATCGGTGCTGGGTGCAGGTGCTCAAGGGGGTGAGCTGTGCTGCAGGGGAAGTGAAGGGTGTGCACAGCCCCTCTCCTTGTTCCGGCTGAGAAACTGAAAAATTCTTACAGTGCTCTTCTAAATCTGAAAGTTCTAAACTGCTGGAAATGTTCCAGTTTGTAATTTGTCTAGTCCACAAGCTCCCAGCTCAGTATCCAAACCTTTTCACTACCCCTTTTCACCCTCCTTTACACAATTAAAAGAGTAACTGATCCTGCAGTTCCCTCTCCCTGAGATTCCCGTGGCTCTTTCCAAAGACCTGTGTGTGACATACAAACTCTTTGGCACAACACTGATAGCAAGGTGTCAGCACAGCTGAGGTGGGTTTGATCGGGGGTGACTTTGCCCTGAGTGGTTCAGCTGCTCTCTGTTCCAGGTCCCAGAAGTCCCAGTACTCGGCCACATGTCACCTTCCAGAATGACACAGCTGTGAAACGCTGCGAGCTCAGTGCCACGGCTTGAATTGAGTCTCAGCTTCTTTAGTTCTCCTTCCCTTGCATGAAAATCTGAAGTGACAAATACCAAGGAGAGAGGAAAGTCACTTGGAGTGGGTATGCAGACGTAATGTCCACACAGAAGTCCACACTTCACTGCCATTCAGATGTCACCTTGCAGCAGAGACTATGTGACCAAAGAATTACGTTCTGAACTGAAAACCATACTGAGATCTGGTGTTGTGTGATTAACACTGGCTCAGAGGACACTGTGCAAAGGCCCTGTCTGCAGCGTGGCACAGCCCTGCAGAACTGTTACAAAACTCAGCATTTACCTCGTGAGAGTCGTAGTGGGATGCTGTGGGTGAGAGTGGCTCCCGAGCCCCTGCGGTGCCAGCCAAAGCTGTGGAGAGGAGTGACAGCCTCTCTTAGTACCAACCTCTCTTTGGAGGCTGGTTACTCGCAGATTGTCGCTATTCACGTTCCCTTCCCTTCCTGAAGGAAAATGAATGAACTCGATGCCTGGCGCTGTGGGAAGGGGAGCTCTGTAACCCCTGTAACCCTGTCCCAACCCCGGCTGAGGGGGCTCTCCTGGGCTCCCCCAGCGCTCTCCATTCCTGGTCCCGGAGGAGAGCAGCGTCCCGGAGTCCCGCGGGGCACAGACCCCGCTGGCTGCGCCCCCGCCCCGCACGGGCGGCGGGGCCCGGGGGAGGGAAGGAGGGAGGGAGGGACGGAGGGCACGTCCCGCCCGGCGCGGCTCGGCCCCCGCCGGCCCATGCGGGGCGGCTCCGGGCGCTGGGCGGCAGAGCCGCGGCAGCTCCCGCTGGGCGTCGAGATGGGGCTGGAGCTGTACCTGGACCTGCTCTCGCAGCCCTGCCGCTCCATCTACATCTTCGCCCGGAGCAACAACATCCCCTTCGAGTTCAAGCACGTGGAGCTGTTCAAAGGTGGGACGGGCGGCGGGGCCGGGGCGGGCGCGGCCCGGCGGGGCGCGGGCTCAGCCCCTCTCTTGGCTCTTGGCAGACTCGGTGCTGGGGAAGAAGCCGGCGGCGGGCAGCGGCGCGGAGCAGCCCCGTGCAGGTGAGGGCAGGGCAGGGGACGGCGGGGTCCCCGCAGGCCGAGCGTGTCCCCGGGGCGGGGAGGGGCCCCCCAAGCGCTCGGAGCTGTAACGCGATCCCCGGGCGGGGGCCGGGCTGAGCCGCCGCCGCCGCTGCCCTGGACGTGGCCGGGATTGCTGTCACGGAGCCCGGGGGAGCCCCTTCGCCTCCCGGCACACGAGCAGCAGCGCGTCCTTGGGCCCGGTGGGAGGAAAGGACGAGCTCCCCGGGTCACCCGGGGGATGCTGAATCCCTGCGCTGCCCAGGGACGTTGAACGCGGGGTTGGACCGTGCGGCTCCGGTTCCCAGAGCAGTCTCGTAGCTCTGCTGCATCTATTTTTGTGGCTCTCCAAGGAATGTTCCTCTAGCCGTCTCTAGCAAATTAGTCACACTGACAGGCGAGGAGTGCTCTGGGAATGCTGTACTTTTCGGAAACATTCAGCTAGCTATTCAGGCTCCTCTAACTGTATGACTATTGCCCAGTTAAATGTTGTGTTTTCCTAGTAAATTGTTACTTTTGTGCCTAAGGCAAAGCATGCTACTTGCATGGAAACCCTTGGCTGAGGATTAGGTGATTAGGCAGGTATGTGATTGGCAAATAGAGTGGGATTTTTCCCCTTCTATTTCCATAAAATCTTTTCCACTGCTCTTTTCACCCACCAATAAACCTCCTTCTCTGCACTATGACTTACACTTAAGATTTCCTCATGTGTGCAGCCTGCCCTGCTTTTTGACTATGGATATTCTGCATGTTAAAGTTACATCTCAAAGCCCAACAATACACACTGTGTGTGTGTATCTCTATCTATCTATCTATCTATCTATCTATCTATCTATCTATCTATCTATCTATCTGTCTATCTATCTATCTATCTGTCTATCTATCTATCTATCTATCTATCCATCCTTGGGAGTCATCAAGAACCAATTACCCCAGATACAACTGATCTGGGGTAAACTTAAACAGAACTGTAAGTCAAACCAACATCACAGGAATTATACAGATGGGCCACCCAATACCACTAAACAAAAAGGCTGGCCCTGCTGGCTAGAAGAGAGGCACAAGCTTAAATTCTGCTAAACTGCAAATACAAATATTGGTCTCTATTTTCATACAATAAGCAGTGGGTCCCGATGAAACTGCCTGGAATTGGTGTTCACACCAAGGCATTTACCAGTTCACAGCTCAGTCAGAGTCTCAACACAGGTCTTTTATGTCTATGTACAAACCAAAGTAACTGATGCCATCCCTGGGCTGTGGTGTAGGCTGTGTCACAGACACTGACCTACTGTCCAACCTGCTGTAATGACATGTTAGCCCAAGCAGGGAACAAATATGCTCAGTATTCCTGCTAGAATTACTGTATGATGAAAGCTCTCTGAAATCTGATTCAGTCTGTCCTCACCCACTGCTTACTTCTCATGTCCTTGTTTCTTAGTTTCCTGCTGCCCTGGATAATAAACACAGACAGCAGGACAACCAAACAGCTGGGTCTGACAAGGCACTGCTCATTAGCTGTAAGCATTACTGACTGGCAACTTGCAATTGCATTTTTTCCAAAGACCAAGTGAACGCTACAGATCTCACCAGAGCTGGCTGTGTGGTTACCACTGCCCATTGAGGCCCTTCTAGAAGCACAGAACAAAGCACCTTCCCTGAGCATGACAGTAGATTTACAAACATTTGCCTCACTGTTTCTGTGATACAAATCATGGGGGTGAAGCACCCTGTAATTTGCCCATTGATTTTTGGACTTTTTTTTCATACTCAATTTTCTCAATTTTTAGGATTAACTTGCACTTTCTGTCAGGCTAATATTTTTAAGAGGCCCTACCTAGGGCTTCCTGCCTCTCTTGATAGTGTTGCCTGGTTCTGCTGTGCAGATGGAACTTCTTACCCAGCTAAGCTGGAAGCCATCATCAAAAAGTCAGAGATTTTTCCTAATAAAAGAAAAAACATGGGTTTTAATCCCTTCAAATAGCAGATGAATAGCAGAGACCTTATTCTCTGATGAAGCCACTTACAATGCAATTTTTAAAAAAACCCCACTTCTCAAAGAAGAAACAAGGTAGAGGCTAGTGAGCTGGAAAGGAGAACAAATGGTAATGTATGCTCTGCTTGATTGAAATCGTTATGTGAAATCGATAAAAGGGAAAGCAGTCTGTAATTGTCTAATTGTCATGCAGCAAGTTGCCTTCTCCCAGCCCTTCCCAAACCAGCTGCAAATAAACTTGTTTGTCCAGGGGCTGGTTTTATTTCCCAGAGACTATTTCCTACTGCACATTTGTCCAGTAATGTAGACACTGCCACTGCTTCCTCAGTGGGCACAAATAGTTGTTAGAGATGGAGATCACTTTAATGTTAATTTTTCTTGTCTTTTTCTGAACAAAGGGATTTTTGTACAAGACCTCCTGCTGGTCATGCTGGTTTGATCAGGATTTGCACCTTAATTGTTATGTCTCCCTCGGAGCACTTAAAACAAGCAAAGCAAACGAATTCCTCACAGCTTTTCTTACTCAGGTGTTCCTGGGCTGTTGTGCAATTCCCTGGCATTTAACTGCAGACTGGCAAGTCTGGTGCCAGCAGTGGGAAACTGAAAGCCTGATTAGATAGTCAGCTGTTAATTCCTCCAAGGGACTGTGGAGTTGAAATTCTTATGGAATGATGCCTTCCTCCTGTGTTTTCCTGTTAGAAGTAGGTTGACATGCAGAGCCAGGAGTAACACAGAGTCAGGAGTAGTGCAGGCTTGAGGTGTCTGAGTTCCCTGCCCCTAGCCAATGTCCACTCTGTCAGAAAGCTTTGCAGTATTCTGGTACCTGAGTCAAGCAAGAGAACTCGTGTTAGAAATGTAAAGTGCTCCATGCCAGGTGCCCAGCCTTTCAACTGTGAGCTATGACCCAATTGGGAAAACCTGACACAGTTCACTGATCATCCAGCTGGCTGCAGCTATTTCATTTATCACACACTGGCAGGTGCACTTCTAACCTCAGACTTGTCTGTTCGTGTCCTTAGGGCCATCAAATAGTGAAGGTGCAGGCAAAGTCAGCCTCTTGAAGAAAGTACCAGCACTGAAGGATGGAGACTTCACCCTTGCAGAATGGTAAGAACTCAGTTCTTAAACTTCCTTGGGTACCAGCAATCTGTGCTGCATTCAGAAGATGTCATTCCCATGGAATAATTAAGGGTCACAGAATATATGAACATGCTGGTTATTTTTAATAGTGTAACCTCATTTGATCTGTTTCCACTTTCTGTTTGAATTATCTTTCAGAATGTAAACAACTCAGCTGACTTAGCTTCTTCATCTCACCCCGAATGCACTTACCTCAAAATGGGATTATAAACATTTCTGGGAGATGTTTAAAGCTTATAAAAATCCCTTTCACCCTAGGAAAAGAAATCCCTTTTACTCTAGGAAGGAATTCTGTTTATCTGAATTAGTCATAAAGGCTGAGTGAACATCTACACAGATAAAATTTAGGCTTTACATTAAAAGATGAATATGGAGGCTGGTTAATGATGTCATAATACTGAAACAATTGAACTATAGCAGTATCAGCATGGTCAGGGTGTCTGCATTTTCTTCCATTTTGTCGGCACATTTTCTATGGCATCTTTTTTTTGTAGTAATAGCCTAAGTATTGTTGCAGATGACTAAGATATTTTTCCATCTGACTTCTGCCAGTTAGTGAAAGTATAAACATCTGGACAAACACAAAAAGATTCTGTGGAGTTTCCTCACTGAGACTTCCACTGACTTCAGTGGAAGCTGCATGCTGGAGACAGAGTTGATGAAAAGGCAGCAATAACCCATCAGAGAGTTCCATTTAGTACACAGGCACAGAAACAGCACAGGTCTCAGAGAGATGGGTCAGAACAGGCAAGGAGCAAGTGGAGTTACCATCACTGGTAGGTGATCATGGAGGTTTATTGTTTGTTTAGCCCAGTACTGTCCAGCAGCACCATAGAGCAGTGCTGTGATTTTCCAGCACTGATTTTCCAGCAGATCAAAGTTTTCATGGAAGCTGAGGTGATTAAGGGCCACTGATGTCACATGAATTAGATGCCTTTATATGGTCCCTAGACTCTACTGGAAATCCTGATCTGAATGCTTTTTAGTGGAAACAACAAGCTGAGGAGGAGCAGGATAGGGAGCTTGGGCAAAAGCATTCTGCATCACAACTGCTGACCCCTTTCTTGTCTCCTGCTGATGCTGAGCAGCACTGCCATTCTGCTGTACCTGAGTCGAAAGTACAACACTCCTGACCACTGGTACCCCTCAGACATCCAAAAACGGGCACGGGTCGATGAGTACCTGTCCTGGCACCATGCCAACATCCGGGCTAATGCTCCTAAAACCATGTGGATCAAGGTAAGGAGACTGAATGTAAAAATGTCAGTAAAGTGATGTTTTCCTGTGAGAAAACTGAGCATTTTAACAGCCCCAATCCAGAGACAGTTTGTCATGATGAAACAACAAACCTGGGCCATTCCTAGCTGAAAGGAGCTGTTGGAGAGAGAGCTGTTCCAAACTGATCAACGTCAGGATTTGGCAAAAGCAGATTTGGCCATTTTGGTTTTTCCCTTAAAGAAGGTCTGATACAGAATGTCTCAAACCCAACAGACTTTGACTGCCTGGGTTTGTGAGTGAATATGTAACAAACTCAGTATTGCTTCCAAGGGCCTCCCCCTCCCTGCACAGCTGTGCAGAGTGTGCACATAGGCAGAGTTTGGCTTTGCTCAACATGTGTTTAGTTGCTGGAAGCAGAAAGAGTTGCATTCTTCATACAACTCCCTGCAGCCTCTTTAGGATGGAAATGCAGAAGGAGCCTCTGCTTCCAGCACACTTATGTGCTTCTCTGAAATAGGCTCAGAGACAGAGAGGAGAGAGACACTGAGAGGCAGATTTTCTTTACTCAGTGCAGTCAGGCCAGTTTACATTTAGGCAAAATTACCTGATTCATCCTGAGCCAGAAAATTATTTAGTATCAGATGATTGTGCTGGACACCTATTTCCAGCCAACTCACCAGACAGTTAATGCAACTATCCCTAGGTGCAAGTGTAGCTCTGTGAGGAAGAGCTGCTATGGAATTTCAGATGAAATCAGGATTGCTAGTGAACAGGTAAGAACTTCACTCCTCCATTGTAAAGGTCGCCCTTGTTTGTGCCTAACAGAGCATATCAGGATTCATTTATCTACTTGAATTTTTTAAAATTTTATTTTTTGGCTATAGAGTACAGAGAAGCAATTCAAATATGAGTCAGATTCATACAAGGAGTTTCTTCCAGTCTCTGCAGGCTGTCAGTGCAGTGCTCCAAGAGAAAGAAATCCAACTAATCACTAATGATGATGATTAGATAGACCAGATGCAGAAAAGATCCTCAGAATAGCTGTAAATATGGAAACACATAAAGCCACCATGTAAGAGAAGCATATTAGCTAGCAATGGGAGAAGATAGACAGCCCTGAGATAAGGAAAAGGAAGAAGATGCTGTTTCAAGTGATTTTACCCAAAGATCCCATCATGCATAATTGGAATCAGGGAGAGAACTGGCTACGAATTTTCTGATGAAATAGATTCCACATGTATTTGGCCAAAATCCTGGCTTGGATTAAGCAATCCCAACTTGAACTCTTGAATATACTAGCAGTAAGTAGAAATTCAGTCCACTCACACTGAAATTTATGTCTTTAAGTTTGATTCTCTAAATAAACTGTACTTCTTTAGCTGCAGAAGGTGAAGGCAGCAGAGCTGTGAAACACTGCAGGCTCCAGTGGTACATACACCTCTGACTGATGAAAAATATTGTGGAAAGGCAACTACCCCCTGTGCTAGCAAGTCTGTGCAGACACAAGGACTTCATCTATGTGGTTGCTCCAGAAAAATTTCTAGTGTTTTAAAGAAGGATGCTTTAAGCATCACAGAAAGGTTTGTTAAAAATGGTGTTGACCACTTCCAGCCTTGCTGGCTGCTGTCACACAGAGGAAGCCATTTCTGTCTCTCCAGCCAGTGTTGATACATTCTGTTCCTTCCAGTGCTCCTGCCACAGCCACCACCATTCCCTCCTCTCTGTCACCCTGCAGGACAGGCAGCTGCCTGCAGCACCCAGTTCCACAGCAGGGTGGCTGGCAGGGATGGCTGCTGGTGACACAGAGGATGTACCAGGGGTGACTGTGGCAGAGATTTGTCTTCCCTGGAGCTGTTGCCCATTTTTCTTTTGTAGCCCAAGAGGGTGAAGTGGGAGGGCATGGCTGCCAGGCACAAAATGAGATGAGGAGCCTTGATTTTGTTCTGCACATTGCTGCTGATTAGCTGGAGGTCACTGCCATGGCCACTCAGCACTGCTGCTGTGCTCTCTGTCCAGGAGCTCTGTGGAGCTGCCACAGTCTGTGAAGCTTAAATTACTACTGCCAAAGAAGATGGTCATGTGTACTGTTATGTCCCTTCTCTCCTCAGGTGTTGATTCCCCTCTTCACAGGGCAGCCACTGCCCTCGGAGAAGCTCCAGGAGGTTATGGAGGGGCTGTCCACTTCCCTGAAGCAATTTGAGGAGAGGTTTCTGCAGGACAAGGCTTTTATCATTGGCAGTGAGATCTCCCTGGCAGATCTGGTGGCCATTGTGGAACTGATGCAAGTGAGTGCTGGAGCGTGGTGAGGAAGTGTCAGCACAAGGGAAAACAGATGCTGCTGAGCAGGGAGGGTGCAGCATGTGCTAACACTTCCCTAGGAGGAGAAGCAAGAGCATATCTCAGCAGAACTGGCCTAAGACAATGGGAGAATGTGGGAGTGGGCTCAGAACAGCAGTGAAAAAAAAAAGCTGTCTGCAACAGATCTCTTTTGTTTCTCATCTCTAGCAATAACTACTTCTTGATTTTTTAATCATGATTTTATTTTTAACCTCTAGAGAAGGAAGTAATATATATAAGTGAGAAGCAAGCAGACAGGTCTGATGAAATGAGATAACCATATAGGAATATTTCTGTCATTCAAGAATATAATACTTGCCCATGCCATGTCTGGAAGACAAAAGAATTAATCTCAGACAGGCAATCAAATTAAGTCTGTTACAAACTGGTTGTTCCCTGCCAGACCACCAGGGCCTGGATCCTGCAGCCCAGCAGTGATTTCTTTCTCCCAGATTGGGGTCCAAGGGAATGAAAAACAGCAATTCTGCTTCTCTGCATTGTGTTCCAGAGAATGGCACAGGCAGAAAGCAGAAGAGGGGTAGATGATGCTAGTTGGGACACTGGTTCAGTTAAACACTTCACGTTTTGTGCTGGGTGTTGCTGTATAATCCAGCACTCTGTACTGCAAACTGGGCAGTGTTCCTGGAACTGCCAGCCCACCACATCTTCAGTGTCGTGGCTGAAAATCACCCACAAAATGTGGTCATTTCTGCTGCCCTAAACAGCTATTCCAGCACCCAGGAATTGAGCTGTAAATGCCCTTTAAAATACAGGTTAGCTTTTGTGTCTCCCAGATAGATTTCCCTTCTTCCTCCTGCTCCTCTATGAGCTCTTCCTTTTTTTCCCATTTACCTGTACCTGCAAGAATACTTTTAGTGCCTGTTGACTCAGTTAAGAAGTGACTGCCCCAAGCCTCACTGTTGTTCTCTCTCCTTTCTGCAGCCTGTTGGAGTTGGTTGTGACATCTTTGAAGACAGGCCCAGGCTGAGGGAGTGGCGCAGGCGGGTGGAGGATGCTGTGGGAAAAGAGCTTTTTTTCCAAGCCCATGAGATGATCCTCAATATCAAAGAACTGAGCAATATTCAAATCGATCCGCAGCTGAAAGAGCAACTGGCACCTGTGTTGATGAAGATGTTGAAATGAATTAACCTATCTTAGCATTTTTCCTGCCTCTTTTTTTCCCTTCTTATTTTCTTCTCTGACATCCAGTTCTACATGTAACTGGAAAGAGCACTGTAATTCTAACAGAGAAATTGCTGAGTGTTCTGTCCCTGGGCCAGGTCTTTCTTGTATCTTTGGGGGTGGAAGCTAGGGAAAGTTTAAGATCTAAAAACATTAAATTCATACAGAGGGCTGAGGCTCTACAGGTCACTCAACAAGCATCTGGATTTTGTTTCAGTGTCAGTCTTCTCAGAGATGGTAGAGACAAGAACGGTATTTCCTGACAGAATTAAAGCCAGCTTATAAACTGGGAATGTTAAAGTACTGAATAGGATGAGGATCATTGTTTTCAATTTTAATATTTGTACTGCAAAGTGTGCCTGATCCTCATCTTCCCAGCATGTGTCTGCACAGACAAGCAGAGCCCAAAACTACTTCACAAAAGTGAAAAAAAGAAATTTTAAAAGTTTCTTATTGTTGGGGCATCTTGCTTGGCTGTCCGTGTACATTCCACACTTCTTTTTCCCTTGAAGTTCCTTTGAGAAATTTCTTTGTATTCATCTGCAACTGTGAATCTTTATAATTCTTCAGTTTAACTGCTGCTTTGGATTTCTGAAAGCCTGGGTTCTCTTGGTGCTCTATCTACCAATACACATTTGTGGCAGCTGTTCTTGGAGATTCATGCTGCTGGTGGACACAGCCTTGGAATACCTGCCTACCTAAAATACCATGGTGATGTTATATAGGGAGTACCCTGAAAGAATGCATTCACAGTGTTTTTGTGAAAGGGAATATAACAGTAAACAAATTGGTTTTTTTCTATGGCAATACTGTAATAGCAATCCACATTTCTCTTAGAAAATGTGGAGGGAATAAATGCAGACATGCTCTTCTGAGACTGTTTTGGATGGAAGTTCACCAAGTAAGTCACCCTGTGCAGCTGAAGTAATAAGAGAGGTTTTGTGGCATTGAGCAACACATGCATCACAATAAAAGGGCAAAGAGTTGTTTTGGAGCTTTTGGGCTCTTTTTCTTGGCTGTTTGTTTCTGCTCAGTTATCGATGAAATACAAAATCCTTTTGTATTGCAGTACAATTTATGAGGTAAAACTGAGCAAATCCAACCATTTCCAGTTTCCTCAGTTGAAAATAACAAACTGTAAAGGATGCAGGAATTGGTGGAATATTTATCTGTATATTTCCATTCATAAGTAATTGTTGGCATTACTCTAAAATCCTTGCCAAAAAATTCTTCCTGCAAAGACTAAAACAAAATGACTAATGGAATTCAGGAATTGCTTCTTTCACTAATCAAATAACTACTTTTTTCTTTTTTTTCCTCCAGTGCTACCATGTCTTGGCTAGTGACGTTTTTTGCTGGCACGTTCTAAAAAACCTGTTGTTTTCTCATGGTGTTTTTCAGTTCTGAATACTACTCTGTCCTAGAAATCATTTCTCAACCTGATCCCTGGCTGATTTTTGCACATGATTCTTTGTGCCAGTATTGTCTTCACTAGCAGCAGTGAAGGCCAAGCAATCCACTAAGCAAAAAAAAAGAGCAATTTCATCAGTTTTCATTAGTGTTGTCTGGAATTGTGGAAAACCGAGATGTCACATTACACAAGGCAAGTTTTACACAAGTTTTGTGCCTTAAATGATGACCTTTTAGTAGAGCTGGTTCATAACCCTTTGCTGTAAACGAGCTCATGGAACCTCACTGGACAGTAGCTCAGCTTCTGAGAAGCCTCTGCTCTCTAGTTTAGACACCTCTGATCTGTAGATTAGGCAGTCCCTGTGAGCCAGCCTGCCAAGGTCACTTACCAATTTGAGAGCTCGAACTCCTGGTTGCTCAAAGTCCTTATAATTAATACACATTGGATAAAGTAGTAAACTTCTCTGCTTGCTTTTTAATTTCTTGTAGTGTTGGTTGTTCTGAGAAATTACCGCACTGCCATTCTCAACCCTCCCTGCACAGAGGTGTCTGTTGTAGTGACCTCAAGTGTTTTTCCACTGGCAGTAAGGACCACCACAAAATCCATTTTATCCATCCCTTGGTGAGATTGGTTTTGGTCTCACAGCATCTAATGCACATCCCAGCAATGCCCGTGGTGACTCGCAAAGGCCTGGCAGTCAGCTGGGGCAGCTCGAGTAACCCGGGAGCCCCGCCCGGGGCTGGCACAGAGCGAGGGGCGCTGGCACGGCTGGGCAGGGCCGGGCGCTGGCACGGCTGGGCCGGGCGGAACTCGGCACTGGCAGGGCCGGGCTCGGCGCTGCTGGGGCGGCTCCGAGGGCGGCTCCGAGGGCGGCTCCGGGGGTGGAGCTGGGGCAGGGCCGGGTCGTGCAGGCTGAGTTGGAGAGGAGCAGGAGCGCCATGCCGTTCGTAGAGCTGGACACCAGCCTGCCGGCCGAGCGGCTGCCGCCGGGGCTGGCACAGACCCTGTGCACCGCCACCGCCGACATCCTGGGCAAACCGGCGGAGGTGAGCGGGGAGGGGCGGGGGGCGGCCGGGCTGGAGTCGGGCGGCGGGGCCGGAGCGGCGGGGACTGACGGTGGCTGTCCCCGCAGCGGGTGAACGTGACGGTGCGGAGCGGGCTGCCCATGGTGCTGTCGGGCTCGGCCGAGCCCTGCGCCCAGCTGGTCGTCTCGTCCATCGGCGTGGTGGGCACGGCGGAGCAGAACCAGCGGCACAGCGCCCGTTTCTTCGACGTCCTGACGGCGCAGCTGGGGCTCGGCCCCGAGCGGTGAGTGCGGCCCGGCCCGGCCCGGCCCGGCGGGGGCTCGGCCCGGCGGGGGCTCGGCCCGGCGGGGGCTCGGCCCGGGGGGCACCCTGCTCACGTCAAGGGCAGCGACAGCGTCCTCCCATCGGGCCTACAGGCCTGTGTGGTCCATGGATATGGAACACGACAAATAAAAGGGGATGTTCAGTGTGGTGGAGATAGTGGCAGTTCCCATGTCCTCCAGGAGACTAAGTTGTAGTACAGATCCAAGATCTAAGTGCTCGTGGATGCTGAATCTCAGACATGTGGCTTGGAGCCAGATAAAACCGTATAAACTGGCATGCACTTGTTGAACAGTCTGGGCACTACTGTTCTCTCAAGATCAGTAGTTACAGTTGGTGAAATGGGTGCAAAACCCCACCGAAACTGGTAGAGCTTCACAGGGGTCACCCTCCCAAATGCTGGAACAAGGCTGTTCCTGAAGGTCAGCCGTGTCCATCTCTGCTTGTCTTACCCATCTCCCCAAATGAGAGTGATAATAGTACTTCCCTGCCTCTTGGATGCTGTCAGGATTTATCCCTGGCAAGATTATGCACTGTGTGGTTCCTTCTAAAATGGACAAGTATCTCATTTAAATTGTTGAAATACAGACTGCTTTTGTTTGTGTGGGTGAAGTCTGTTTGTACCCTGACCATACACAGCTTGTGTTTCCTTCTGTTCATTTAACAGAAGTGTAAGACAGTGAAACCCTAGTACAGATCTTCTACTATGTTGCAAACCGGGCAGCAATAATGCTTCATTGTAAAATAATGTTTTTTGTCCACATTTTTGCTCTTGTACCCAAAAGGATTGTCATCCGCTTTTACCCACTGGAGCCCTGGCAGATTGGCAAGAACAGGACAGTCATGACATTCCTGTGATCCTTTTGAGTGGCCAACTGGAGCAAAGCAATGATGAAGGCAACCTGGAGATGATCAGCTCTATCTTCTTGTTTCCCCTTGTGATCAAATCTATGTAACTCGATTCACTTTTGTTTTTGCATCCTATACACACAAAGCTCAAGAGTGAGGCCATCAACTGTACTGATTTTACTGAAATAGTTCAAAGTCTTTGTCTCAAGCTCAAGCCTAGACAAAGCTGCTTGTAGCAGTAAAAAGTTTAATTCTAGAACATTTGGCTTTACCTGAGGACCAGAGAGGTTCTGAGGTTTATCAAATTTTTCTCATAGTTTGCAAGGCAGAATAATTCCTTTTGTATGTTTCTCTGTGGCAGCGAAAGGGTCTCAGGTCAGCGAAGATGACCTGGAACTCAAATTAATTTCTTTTTCAGGCTCCTCTGAAAGCTCTTTCTAGAAAGAGAGGTGATTATTGGGAGAGAAGTTTAGGCATTGAAGGCTCATGTCAGATCTTTGCTGTGAGCCCTGCTATTGCCACCTCCTGTGACTGCTCCTACAAAGTGTTCACAAGGTTTTCAGGGCTCAAAGTCTGTCTGCTGATGGCAGTGTCTGGAGAAGAGAGTCACTTCTGAAGACCTGCACTGTGCCACCAGAACATATTTTGAAGTTTCTGCTACTCCCAGTTTTAATTCCTGTTATTCACTGTTTGTTCAGAGTCCTTTTCCTTGCTGTTATGGGGAGTTTTGGGTTGATACAGCATCTCACTGTGATCTCTGGCTGATGTTTCTGGCTCAGCGTTCCTGCAGAGAAGAGTTTTGGGTTTTTAGGACCCGCTCACTTTAAAACTAGAATACACAGGGCATTTTATTAAAACATTTTATTGTAAGGGTACTTTTTGTGTACAATGTTGCCTCTGCCTTCTGCTGCTAATGAAAACATTTGTCGGTTCCCTTTCACTTTGGCCAGTTGGAGGTCAGGGAGCTCAGCAGAGCTGAGAGCACATCCCTGGGACATGGGGATCCGTGAGAACACAAGGCTGAAGGGGGCTTCTGTGCTCCTTCGTCATTCTAAATGGAGTTTTATTTGTTCATGGCTTGAGGTATTAAGATTATTGAAAATATTCCCTCTAATTACCATTTAAAATTGTTTGTTCCCTTGTACACCCTAAATAACTTCTATGTTTGACAAATCTGACAGGAATATAATACCAAACACAAATCAGTGTATCAGGCTGGGGGGGCTACACCTTATCTGGTTAATAAACTCTTGCAAAGCTTCTTTTGATAAGTGTCAGCTTACTGGCTCACAGCATTGGGGGTTTGTAGGTCTTAGTGCTTGAAGACAGACATTGTGGCTGCCCAGGTCTCTCCACTTTCTCAGGTCTTTTCAATCAAAAGTTTTTGAAACTCAGGCAATGAACAGGTAGGTGAACTGAGTCTGAGAACCCCAACTCAGCAGTACTGTGTTGCAGAGTAGGGTGTGGACAGTCCTGGATTTGCACCAGCTTGAGGTGAATATTCTGAAATGCAGAAAAAAATCTCACTTTAATTCTGATCAGCAGATGCTTCATTTCCTTCTGCCTTCTGAAGTAACAACCACAAACCCTTGCCAAAGCCTTTGTTTCCTTCAAAAGAACTTGCTGAGCTCTGGGCCCCAGTTCTCTTGGTTTTGGGCCATGTTGACCACCCTGGGGACTTCTGCAGGCTCTGTGCTTTCCTCACCCTGGGCTGCTCTCAGTGTGGGCTTGTGTCTGGGAACAACTTCCAGTACTGCAGAGTTGAGCAAGAAGATGTAAGAAAGTTCATGTTGATCTGAAGAAATGGCCTATCTTTTACTTCACTGAGCTAATGTTGGAGTAGGTTTGACTGTATTTTGGGACTCTAACCTGCAAAGGGGTTATGCAGGCCCCTGGAACCCCCCCCAGGGCATGAACACATCAACCAACAGAAACAGGAAATGTTTTGCACACCTCAGGCTGAAGAAAATCAATGCACCACCCTTATCTGTGGCTCAGCAATAACATTATAAAATCCCTTTCCTTTGAATGCTACATGCAGATGTCCCTGTTCCATGGGCTGGAGCCTGCCTGACACCTGGAATTAGTATCTCCCAGTTATGGTTGATCTTTTTACTGTTGTAACTTCCCAGGCTCAACCTCCTAAGGTTAACAAATATTTCTGCTCCCCAAAGGGGCCTCTGTTGTTTGAAACTGCTGTATAAGCATATGTTCAAACTGAAAGGCAATGCCCCTGATTTTGAATGCTGAGTAACCATTTCCTAGCCTCAAACCTTTGAACTTTGGACAATGTTTCTGTGTATTTACACTAGAGAGGAGCAGCGAGGCCCTGAGGATGGTGCAGGGCACACCACTGACAGGAAAGTGCTGCAGGGCTGTGATAGCTTTGTAAGTTATTGTCCAAACACAGCAGTGTGATACTGCTGCTCACAGCAGCCCTGTGCTTGGTGTGTCATGGTGGAAAGAAGGGCATTAACACCAATGGTCCATTTGAGATGAAGAGGGCTCTTCCTCACAGTGCTAAGTGGTGATTCAGTGCAGTGCTTGAGCACAAATTTACCTTCCTCAGTGTGACCTGATGTGTTGTAGCAACAGGACTGTTCAAACGTGAGGTTCTGGCCCACAGCTGGGGCCTTGCCAGCCTGGCTGACCCTGTCTGGTGTCCTTGGGCTGTGCTGAGTCTCTGTGGGGCTGCAGGTGGCACATCTGCTCTTTGACACTCGCTGCTGTCTGACCACCTTACACTTCAATAAAGTCATTTACACTCAGAGCTGTCTCAGTGCTGCTGGGCTTCACGTCTCCCAGATCCCAGGGGCACAGAAGTGTGTTCCCATCTGCAGCTAGCTCCATGGCAAGCTTTAGGGAAAATCGGTGGCCTTGGGCTGATTTCCATCCCCCTGGGCAGGGGATCCACACTCATTGAGGGTTTTGCCCACAAGACCCCACACAAGCTGCATCTGAAGATCCCGGGCAGAATAACAACTGACCTTCTGTCCCCTGTTGAGTAGGAGCAGTCTTTAGACCTATTAATTTCTGAAGCTGGAATCCAAATTTTACAGATGGGTTGCCTTACTTTGTGAAGGAAAGCAGCTCTGCCCAGCATTGTTTGTGCAGGTGTTAGGGTGTTTGAGGGTTGAAGAAGCAAGGAACTGCTTTCTGCCTTTGCACCATTTTTCTGTGAGAAATCCCCAGATATATTAAATTTGGAAGATCAGCTCCATATTTTGGAGTTAGGCTGCTGAAAGATACTGACAGTACCTTTCCTTGAGAAGGAATGCTCGTGGTCCCACTGTCGATGGGTCAGACAAGACTGTCCAGAGGTACGGGAAACACCTTTCCGTCCTGACAGCTTTTGAGTGGGATCAGTCCTTGGATGTATTGATTCTTGGAGGTGGTATCCAAATTTCGGTGGTGGATCCCTGGAAGGGAATGCTGAGGCTTTTCCTTAGAAAGAAAACACCTGGAACCAGTGTTTCAGGTGCAGATACCAGGCTGCCCAGGGGAGGTAAAGGCCTGCATGACTTTGCTGTCCTGGTACTTTTGGTGTTGGAGCAATTAGAGTCTTAAGCTGTACCAAGGGAGGTTTAGATTGGATATTGGGAAGAATTTCTCCACAGAAAAACTGATTGAGATATTAAACTGCCCAGGGAGGTTGTGGAATCACCGTCCCTGGAAGTGTTTAAAGAAAGACTGGACGTGGTGTGATGTGGTTGGGTCGCAGCCGGGACTCTGACCCCGGAGTTCTTTTCCAGCCGAATCCATGCCGGGCTTCCGTGACCTGCGAGCGCCCTCAGCCCGCCCCCGCCCCCCACCTCCCAGTGTGCAGCTCTCCCATTGGCTGGCTGCGGAAGGGCGGCTCGGCCAATCAGGCGCTGCCTTGTTGGCGCCGTGGCTCCGGAGGCGGTTGCGGTGGAAACCGCCGGTGCGCGGCTCCCGGGGGAGCGGCGGGACCTGAGGGACCCGCGCCGGGAAACCGCGGGAGCGCCCCGGGAACCGCCCGGGAACCCCCGGGAACCTCCCGGGAGCAGCGCCGGCATGCCGGGGGCGGCCCCGCGAGGTGAGTGTCCCGTCCGCCCGGCCCCGCGGAGGGGCAGCCGGCGTTTGGGCCCTGCCCGGTGAGGGTAGCGAGAGCCCGGCCTGGGCGGCCTCGCCCGCGCCCCTCCCTCCGCGGAGCCGCGGTCGGAGGCGAACATGGGCTCCCGCCTCCTCCCGGCCCTGTGTGCCGCCCTCCGGGAGAGCAGCATCCCTGCCCCTCCGTGCAGAAAGTGATCGTGTTTCGGTCAAAACAGCTTGTGCTAAAGTGAGGCGGATCTTTGCAATGTTAAAAAAAAGAAATCCGAAATAAAAATCAAGTCTTTTTTCAAACGTGTATCTGCAATGTATGGATCCCAAGTGTAGCAGGAGCAACAAAAGCTGGGAAAGCCCAAGTCACTCCCTTCGTTTCTTATTTAGAAGTTGAGAACACAAGCTCTGGGAGCAAAAGCTGACACTGGAAATATTTACATAAATTTTAAACTACTAAGATAAAAGGAGAGAAAGTTTTGAAGGCAAAAGGCTTGTTGCCTTTCAGGATGTGCCCACCTGTTGTAGCTGCAAATTTATAGCTGGGACACTCTTGTATCTGAAAAAATTCAAAGTGGTTATACTTAATTAAGAGTAATTATTTTTGCCTGCTTATCTCATGTAGCTGTGTTCCTCTGCAAGTGCTTGTAGTGACATACTCAGTTCCTAAATGCAGTGGCACTGGTGTAACTCGCTCCACAGTCAGGGTAGTTTTGCAGCCATGTACAGTGCCTGGTTTAAACCAAAATGAAATAGCACACGTGCAAAAGCTGTGTGGGGGCAACACCCTGCCCTTGTTTTCTGCCAGCATCTCCCAGTCCTGTTTGGTTCTGCACTTTCAACATGTGAACACCAGGCAGGAGAGAGGCTGAATGGTAGTTACGAAGTTCCTGTGTGTTACAAGCTTCCAGTATAAATAATAAGTAGAACTGAAATTGTTTTCCCACGTTTTCTGTAGTTGCAGTTTTCCCAAGAGTCCAGCTTCCGAAGTCAAGTCTTGACTGTAGTCTGTGCTGCTGACTTCCTCTGCCACCTTGAACGAGATTATTTGGATTCAGCAAAAGACTTGGGCATATTACTGAGTATAGGCATTTTTGTAAGTGGACTTAAACCTTATGAACTTTAATATGTAATTGATTTGGGATCATACAGACTGACTTACTTAAATGTCATAAGCATCTACACCCTGTCCAAATATGTAACATTCAGTCTAACTGAAAGTGGTAACCATTAATTTCTGTGTATGTATTTTCTTCATATGAAAAGTAGACAATTCCTTGTTTCAGACAAGGAATCTGTCCTGAAGGAGATTTGAGGTTTTATTAATGTTTATCTGGTGACTTTAAAGAGAAAAATGTTTTATTGCTGTGCAGTCGTCAGTTTGATTTAACTACAAGCGAGGAGAGCCAGTGCAGCATGGGCAAGCAAATGCTCATTGCTGAATGAGTGAAATTCCTGTCAAGGCATTATTTTCTCTATGTGCAGAACTAATCATGATGATGTATGAGTTAATTCAGCTTATAGTTCAAAACTCCCACTGCTTCCTGCTGTGGTTAATTCTGGACTTACTCTTCTATTAATGTAGTCTCCCATATTAAGGACTGTTTTTAGCCTGTCTTGCATATGTCATCTTCTTGTTTGAGTTGATGGGAAGGTTTTATCATATAGCAGTGAAGGTTTTCTATAAAAGCAGCACAGAGCTCTTTCATATATTTTTGCCTTTATAACGTGTTGTTTCAAGCAGTTAATTGAATATAAATTGGGGGCTTACTTATAAGGAAAAATTACTTACAGTTTATAAAGGTGTATTTACCCCTTCAAACTTTTTATCAGTGGTAAAAAGGACTGGAAAGATGAGGATCGTTTTTCAGAATGAATAAATGCTAATTAACAAAAGTTCAATTTCTTTTGTTTGCATCCATCTAGTATATCTAAGTGTGTCTGCAGTAACTATAACTTGTTTTTGCATTAGGGCTGGGCTGTAGAGGTTGGTCAGTCTACTCAGAACAGCTGTGGTACAAACACTGGTTCTGTTCTAGCAGGGATGGCAGTAATGAAAATTATTCCTCAGTGGGATTATTGTTCCTCAGTGTTTGGGCTGTCTATATCTTGGCATGGGGTGGTTGTTAATTGGTTATTTAAATATGCTTGTAAATGATTCCCAGCTTGTCTTTTTCTTCTGAATTTTTTTCTTTGAGCAGAATAA